ATTACTGCGGTAGTGAATATGTATGCGTCAATGCTGAAAATCCATCAGCGTCGCGGGGGGACTACATACGCAGTATATAAATTTCACACAATATAATAAACATTAACATCTTGTTTTCAAGACTCGATTAGGCTTTACACTTTACACTTTCCTCGATTTTTAAATCATACGAGTCAATTATTATTATCTTTCATTATATTTCTCTTTATTGTTATTATTAATTGTGGTGTATTTATTTCAGCCTCTCCATCGTTCTCCGACAATTTCCCCGCTAACCGCGAACCACTCTCCTCTGCCAATTCCGTCGGCTGAGCTAGTTGTTTAGTTGCGTCGCGAGAATCCACGTAATCTTTAATTTCTTGTCCGAGCAATTTATCTGACGATTTGTGCGAAGAGTGGCACGCTCTCTCGTGCCTGGCGCCCAACGAATTTTTGATAGCGATTAAGATCTTTGCTGAGTAAAGTAACTTGTCAACTACTGTAAATTCTCGAATCACGAAAGAATTAATGAAGAACCGCACTATTGCTCCTTTAAGTATTTTGTATTCTAACTAAGAGCTTTCGCATAATTAGATTTCTTTTGGAGGACGCGACGAAGTTGTGCCGACACTCAAAAGTACGGTTACAAATTTGGCCGCTCGAGGTATAGTCCGGCCCAGTGCGTCAAACGATGATTGCGCCGGCAGCGCGTTGGAGAGGTAGGAAGGGAAGCGCGCTGTTGCTTAGCGCCCGGCATCGGCGTTTACACGTCTTACCGCACCGCACGAAAGGACTCGCGCGATGGCCGTTACGCACATTTGCGATTACGTTACATGCAAAATAATAACACTGCAAAAATACAAACCATAATAAACTTCGATGAATAAAAATGTCGAAAGAGAGAAGACGATGAAATCTACGGAAAATCTAATAAATTTCTATCGTAATCTGTCGCTTCTCTAAATCTGGAAAGGAAAAAAGTTTAAGAAAAGGCTCTCTATCCGAAAGAAATAATATCATTCTCCACCATTCTTTGTCGCTTTCTGTTAGAAGAGTATGATTTCATCGGAATACGATAAAATATCAATAAAAACGTAATGTTTCATTGCAAGTTTTGTTGAAATCTCTCTTTTTGTATGTATACTTCAAAAATCACTGAAAATCTGTCATAATTAATAGTTTATTTACGATAGTAGAGATTCTGAGCTCACCACTATCGCATAATATTACCAAAAAACTTCTGTTGTTAACCTTATCAACGATATTAGACATAACATTGTGCTCTCGAGCTATAATTAATTATCCTAGACGGTTCATCGTAATCTATTATAAAATCAGAGAAGAGTACATGTTTTTCTATATAAGTTTAAATCTTACAAAAATTTGGTAGCTAAACAAATTTAAAAACATTTTTAATTTTAAGTAAAAAATGTTTTTAAATTTGTTTATATACCTGTAATTTGTTAAATTTAAACATATAAAAAAACAAACTTATATATTTTTAATTACTCTCTTTATTAATTTATTAGTTGTTAATTCAATTTTATTAATTTTATAGCAATTTAATATCTGTATCATAATTATTATAATTCATTATATGTTACAATTCACGTAACTTTTATTATATTATAATTCACGTAACCTTTTATAACAGGTTAAAATCAAATTTGGGATTGAATTAAAGACATTAATAATACTTACACAGTTCTGTCGTACATTTGAATCTCAACAAAATTACCTTTTTAAAAAAAAGGAAAAAAAGGCGCCAAGTGTGTTAGCCTCACAAAATAAAATGAAATCTTTTTAAATTGCGCAATTTAAAAAGATTTCATTTTATTTTGTGAGGCTAACACACTTGGCGCCTTTTTTTCCTTTTTTTTAAAAAGGTAATTTTGTTGAGATATCACGCATTTTTTGTAATGTTAAATATTTCTTATAAATCTGTATATAAAATATTAAAAAAAAAACATCATAATAAAATATAATAATAGAGCTCTAATATAATAATAGAGCTCACTGTGCGTGCCTTTGGCCTTAAAATAAAAGGAAACAATATTTAAATATTAAATCTTATAAGACCGTGAGAAACACAACCAATAAAATGCCTTTAACGATCGAACTGTATCTTAGGTACTAATTATAATTCCGTGAGAATTTATATAAAACTAGCATCAAAACTCTCCTCTCCTTCTATGTTGATTAGCGAAATTAGAAATTGCACACCTGTAGCTTTAGCAATTCTTTTCAGATCAGCTTTTTTGCAACGAGAAGTCTAGACATGCGATTTTCGCGTTCGTTATCCTCTTCGGCATTGCTTGAGAGGCGACAGTACAGTTCAAAGCATAGCCTCGAACACTTTTTCCGTGAACTTTCAAGACATTGACTGCTTTATAACAGGATACAAAAATCCTCCTTTGCTATCGTTGATTTTTATCTATCTAATGTCATTACGTTGACAGCTAATCGATATAAAATAAAATATGCTAGCAAGCGCCGTCTGCCGTTTAAAACGTGAAACGGACAACATTTTTTCGACAAAATGCCGTCTGTGTTTAAAACGTGAAACAGACAACATTTCCGATGTTAAAATTTTTGACATTTCAACTTCACATCGAGATATCTTCCTTCGTAGGGTACGTAGACAATAAAAACGTATTTATAATATAATTTAAACACTAAAACTAAATTATGGATATATAAAAGTTGATAAATTCAGCCATTTATTGTGAGATCCGATAATCTCGGGTACACGGAACTCATCGACTCGCGTAAAGATACACGTGCGGTCTCGCGCTTCGCGTTCAATACTTCGTTAGTAGTTAAAACCTCAACAACATTTAATTTTTCAAATTCTGCGAACGGATCAATTTGTTTATCAATACCATAAGAATGATCCTTGTTTCTTTCAATGTCAACGGACATTTTTTCTAGAAAAGCAATTAAAAATTGAAAAATTTACAGAAAGATAAAGAAATTTAAATTCGAAAACGATATAAAACATGTAATCCATCCACCTACAACAGACAGACGATTGCAGAATTTAGTGGGAGCATGAGGAAATGATCTTCCTGAGTGAGAGAGAGAGAGAGAGAGAGAGAGAGAGAGAGAGAGAGAGAGAGAGAGAGAGAGAGAGGGAGGAAAAGGAGGAAGCAGACACGGCCGCACG